AAAAAAGTGATTATTGACATAGTTGGATTAATAGCTACTATATTTGTTACTGTTTTCTATTCATTGCCCTTGTTTTTTGTTCCTCTTTTTGTCTTCTATTCTCTTTCTCTGCCTTTTATTTTTTTTTTAAAGACAGGGTCTTGCTCTGTTGCCCAGGATGGAATGCAGTGGTGCAATCTGACTTTACTGTATCCTCCACCTCCAGGGCTCAAGTGATCTTCCATCTCAGCCTCCCAAGTAGCTGGGACTATAGGTGTGTGTCACCACACCTGGCTAACTGTGTGTGTGTATTATTTTTTTTTTTTGAGGTGGAGTCTTGCTCTGTCACCCAGGCTGGAATGCAGTGGGCAATCTTGGCTCACTGCAACCTCTGCCTCCCGGGCTCAAGCAATTGTCCTGTCTCAGCCTCCCAAGTAACTGGGAATATAGGTGCCTGCCACCATACACAGCTAATTTTTGTATTTTTAGTAGAGACGGGGTTTTGCCATGTTGGCCAGGCTGGTCTTGAACTCCTGACCTCAAATGATCTGCCTGCCTCAGCCTCCCAAAGTGTTGGGATTACAGGTGTGAGCCACTGTGCCCAGCCTTGTGTATGTGTTTTTTTGTAGAGATGAGGTTTTGCCACATTGCCCAGGCTGGGCTTCAACTCCTGGGCTCAAGTGATCCATATGCCTTGGTTGCCCAAAGTGCTGCTGTTGCATGGGCCACCATGCCTGACCCCTTTTATGGTTCTGATTGAGCATTTTATATGATTCTGTTTGTCTCCTTTCTTAGCATATCAGTTAATGCTTTTTTAAAAAAAGCTTTTTTAGTGGTTGCCCTAGAGTTTGCAATATATGTTTACAACTAATTCAAGCCCACTTTCAAGTAACACTATACCACTTCACTGATAGTGTGAATACCTTATAATAACAGAATAATTTTGATACCTTTCTCCCAATTCTTACATCATTGCTGTCATTCATTTCATTTATATGTAAGCACACACACACAATTGAATATATTGTTGCCATTATTATTTTGAGCAAACTTATAAATCAAGAATTAGAAAAATTAAAGTTTTTTATTTTGCCCTCACTATTCTTTCTCTGATGTTCTTCCTTTCTTTGTGTAGATCTGAGTATCTGTCCTATATTGTTTGTTTTCTTTCTGGAAAACTTCTATTAACATTTGTTGCAAGGTAGGTCTACCAGCAACAAATTTTCTTGACTTTTGTTTGAGAACATCTTTATTTCTCTTTCACTTTTTAATTTTTAATTTTCGTGGGTACATATAGGTGTATGTATTTATGGGGTACATGAGATATTTTAATACAGGTATATAAATGTATAATAATCACATGAGAGTAAATGGAGTATCCATTATTTCAAGCATTTATCCTTTATGTTACAAACAATTGTTATATTCTTTTAGTTGTTTTGAAATGTACAATAAATGTTGACCATAGTCACCCTGTTGGGCTGTCAAATACACAGAACGTATTTATTCTGTCTAGAATATTTTTGTATCCGTTAACCATCCCCACATCGCCACAGTCACACTACCCTTCCCAGCTCCTCTAATAGCTATCATTCTGCTCTCTATTTCCATGAGTTCAATTATTTTAATTTTGCCCTCCATAAATGTGAGAACATGAGAAGTTTGTCTTTCTGTGCCTGCCTTATTTCACTTCACATAATGACCTCCAGTTCTGTCCATGTTGTTGAAAATGACAGGATTTCATTGTTCTTTTTTTTTTTGAAATGGAGTCTTGCTCTGTCGCCCAGGCTGGACTGTAGTGCAGGCACATGCTACCACACCCAGCTAATTTTTTTGTACTTGGAGATGGGGTTTCACTATATTGACCAGGCTGGTCTTGAACTCCTGACCTCATGATCTGCCTGTTGACACAGGCGGATCAAAGTGCTCCCAAAGTGCTGGGATTACAGGCGTGAGCCACCACACCCAGCCAATTTCATTATTCTTTATGGTTGAATAGTACTCAATCGTGTATGTGTACCACATTTTCTTTATTCAAATCTTGGCTAGTGTGAATCATGCTTCAATAAACATAAGAGTGCAGATATTTCTTTGATGTACTGATTTCATTTCTTTGAGGTATATATAGGAGTAGGATTATTGGGTTGGATCGTAACTAATTTTTAGTTTTTTGAGGAACCTCCAAACTGTTCTCCATAGCAGTTGTACTAATTTACATTCCATCAACGGTGTTTGAGAGTTCCTTTTCTCCATATCCTTGCCAGGATTTGTTATTTCCTGTCTTTTGCATGAAAGGCATTTTAACTGGGGTGAGATGATATCCCATTGTGGTTTGATTTGCATTTCTTTAATGATCAATGGTATTGAAAACCTTTTCATATACTTGTTTGCTATTTGTATGTCTTTTGCAAAATGTCTATTCAGATCTTTTGCTCATTTATTAATTGGGTTATTCAAGTTTCTCCTCCTGTACAGTTGTTTGTGCTCCTGATATATTCTGGCTATTAATCCCTTGTCAGATGGATAGTTTGCAAATATTTTCTCTTACTCTCTTGGTTGTCTCTTCACTTTGCTGATTGTTTCCTTCGCTGTATAGAGGCTTTTTAACTTGATGTGATCCTATTTGTTCATTTTTTCTTGTTTTCTTGTAGGATATTAATCAACTAATTTTTGCCCAGCCCAAAGTCCTGGAGTTTCCCCAAAGTTTTCTCGTAGTAAGTTCATAGTATGAGGTTTTAGATTTAAGCCTCGAAATCCATTTTGATTTGGTTTTTATATATGATGAGAGATAGGGGTCTAGTTTCAGTCTTCTACATATGGATATCCAGTATTCCTCACACCATTTATTGAAGAGATTATCTTCTCCTCAGTGTAGGTTGTGTGATTACTCTGTTGATAGTTTCTTTTGCTGTGCAGAAGCTCTTTAGTTTAATTAGGTCTCATTTGTGGATCTAGTTTGTTGCATTTGCCTTTGGCATCTTTGTCATGAAATCTTTCCCAGGGCCTGTGTTATCTTACAGGGTTCTTGTTGTTTTAGGTTTTACATTTAAGTCTTTATCTTGAGTTGATTTTTTTGTATATGGTATAAGGAAGGGGTTTGGTTTCACTTTTCTGCATGTGGCTAGCTAGTTACCTCAGCACCATTTATTGAATAAGAAGTCTTTTCTCCATTGCTTATTTTTGTTGACTTAGTTGAAGATAAGATGGTTGTAGGTGTGCAGCCTTATGTCCAGGTTCTCTATTCTGGTCCATGGCCTATGTGTCTTTTTATACAAGTGCCATGCAGTTTTGGTTACTGTAGCCTTGTAGTATAGTTTCAGGTCAGGTAACTTGATACCTTCAGCTTTGTTCTTTTTGATTAGGATTGCCTTGGTTGTTTCAGCTCTTTTTTTGGTTCCATATAAACTTTAACATAGTTTTTTCTGATTTTGTGAAGAGTGTCTTTGGTGGTTGATAACAATAGCATTGAACCTGTAAATTGCTTTGGGCAGTATGGTCATTTTATTTTATTTTATTTTTTTTACAAAAGTATCTGTTTTATTGTGTGAAACAAGTAAAGCATTTTATTACATAATGTAGACATTTTTAATAAGCATTAAATAAATAAATAAATCTAGGCTATTTGAAAAATACAGTTGAGCCAGTGAGCACATTTTATAATTTGGAAGACACAAATCAAA